AAAAAAAAAAAAAAAAAAAAAAAAAAAAAAAAAAAGCTAAACATTTTACCCGGGCGAATAACATTTTGAAGACAAAATGCAGGATAATGATGCTAATTATTGCATGCCCCCGTTTTCTCCCATCACAAATCAGTGAATCAACTATAAAAAAAGACTTCCACTTGAGAAGTTTTCCTTCCTTTCTAATCGATTAAAGCATTTTTTGAAAGCTTTTACTAGAATTGTCTACTCACCACGTACGAGGTGAAAGTGGCTGCCGCAGCCGCCGCCGCGTCGGCGCCGTACGGCAAGTGGTGCGAGTTGTAGCCGGGTGAGGCGCCGCTAAAGGCGGCTGCGGCTGCAGCGGCGGCGGCGGCCGCAGTGGAGGCGGTGGTTGATCCCGCGTAGGGTGCGAAAGCGGAGCCGGACGACGAGCGTCCGAGCTCCTCCGTCCTGGGTCCCGAGATGACGCTGGTGCCGTAGGCTGCCGGGCACGAGTAGAGGGCCAGGGAGGCGGACGGCTGGTACAAGTAGCCCTGAGGGTAAGCCATAGCTGTGGCAAGTTTAACACAGTTTCCCCTCCACTTTTGAGCTTTTTTCCCCCTTGCTTATTTTTCCCCTCCTCAGCCGCTCACGGGTGCATAGAGACAGCCGTATGTGGAGACCTGCTGCCTCCTCCTCCTCCTCCCCCCCAAAAATCTTTCCTTTCTCTCTTTCTCCAGTTGTTTTCTTCTTTTTTCCCCTTTCTTTTTGGGGGTGGAAGTTCTTGCAGCGCCTCTGTTTTGGTGCCCGGGTGGCTATTTTGCTTTCGGCCGTCAAGCAGACTTTTTAAGGGGGCTTCGCCTGCCCTGCATGGGAAAATCTAGTCGCGTATGCCAAGATGCTAAGTTGGAAATTGAGGAGCCTACTTCGCTGCACGGCACGCTCCTCCTCCCCGTCCTCCTCCTCCCTCCTACTCTGGAGGGGTGTTGTCTCTGGAAAGTGGAGGGAGCGCTCGCTCAAAGCGCGCTCCCTCTCTCTCTTTCTCTCTCTCTCACTCTTCTCTCTCCCCCGCATCTCTCGCGTTAACGAACATTCTTTCATTTCTCTCACTTATATATATATTTATTGGTCTTCACACGCTCCCTCCCCAAGTGGAACAATGCACGGGCTCATTTCGGATGGCGACATCACGCCAGTCTTGTCAACTTTTTGTTTCCCCTCCCTGTATGTTTTTTTTCCTGCACGCTCCATTCGCTGCTTTCAAGATAGAAGCACAAACCAGGATTTATTGTTTTTCTTATTGACTTCATTTTTACAACCAGTGCTCCTTCTTCTCTCGTTCATTTTTGTATTTTCCGTGCGTTTTTTTTTTGCGCGTAGAAAAGCAGCAAAGTGAGAATCTGCAATGAAGGCGTTTTCATCCATTCAGGTGCCTTTTTTTTTTACTTCAGCATCCTGTTAATTGGTGCGCGGTAGCTTTATCTGTACGCGAGTGAAAGTAAAAAATGTGTGTCTGTGACTATGAGTGTGAGTGTCTGGCAGTAACTGCCGAAGCGTGCCACGGAATTTGAGAGCTGTGCATCGCATTAAAAAAAAGATTGCGCACACTCGTTAGGGTCCATTTTCCCCCTTTTTTTTCCCCCCATATATTGAATTTTTTTCTTGGTCAGTCTGTTAGTTTGAAAATAGTGTGCAAAGTATTTCTATATTTAATTTTTGGTTTATGTTATATTGCCATGATTATTGCACCTGAATTATGTCTTGATTTATTAATATATTCACGTTTCCATTTCTTTTTAGCTGATTTATTTCGTGTTAGATTGGCCACACATTCATAATTTATTACAAAGAAATAGTGTATTATTATGTACATCTTAATATATTTGTGATAGTAATTATGATTGTATTTTGTACTTGTGCATTATTCATATATATATTTTTAGCACATACAAATGGTGTAAGAAAAAAACAAACAAAAAAAAACGGCATGATCTTTTATGTCGTACTGTCATATATTATTATTATTCAAAGCAGTGTATTTTCTCTGCGCGTGTGGATTGCCTCTTTGCTGTCTGGTTCAAGTCCCCGTTAAACCGAAAGGGATCGCTGTAGGCGCTGCTAAAGAGCGTGTGCGCGCGCGACTGATAATCACGTGGTTAAAAAAAAAAACCTGCAGCGCAAAAAGGGTGAAAAAAGAGTGATGACGTTGGAGCGGAGAGGAGTGGAGGCAGCCTTTCCAAAAAGAAGGGAAAAGCGGAGGAGGGGAGGGCGAAACAAAAGCGAGTCGAGCGTCTAATGAACAGATGACAGCGCGGGACAGCAGCATGATGCTGACACAACAACAAGACTCACCGGAATGGAACCCTTTATTTATTCTTATATTTGAAAGCACAAATGCTAATTGCATTCATCACACAGTTGAGAATCGTGCCAACTGCACACACAGGTGAGTATGAATTTTTGTATTCGAAGCCATTTGATAGCTGATGTGCTTAATTACAGTACATGTATTTGTTTCATTATACTTAGTCCACCATTGAAAACTTTTCTTTTTAATTGCATTCAGAGGCTATTAGGAATGTGGATTTTTTTTTTAAGTGGTGCACCAAAATGCTTCAAGTATTCATGGGATTTTGTCCTAAACCGATTAGTTGACACCAATTTTTCTTTGATGTATTAGCTGAGGGCTTTTTGCCACTTGGAAGTCAATTGAAATTCAAAACAGTTCCCCTCAAGTCCCCCTGAAACGACCCCACCTCCCTTCCCACAATCCAAAATAACGCTTTGGGGGATCCAAAATAACCCAAATTGATGTGACTGATTTTTGCCTTACTTATTTATGATGATGATGATGATGATGATTATCATTATTATCATCATTATTGTTATTGTTATTATTGTGCCATTAAAATACTAGCGGGATAAGGGGTGTTTTTTGATGATTAAACAAATGTTTAAGACCAAGGATGGGCAACATAAGGCAGGTGGACCATTACAGGCCTGTCACAGTATTTCACACAGCTCATCAACAAATACAACCTCTTGAGAAAACACATGCATTAAACCACATATAATCACAAATGAATTTATGTAATAATTAAAAACTTTGTATGGTGCTTGGAGTGATTACGATTGAAAAAGTACTCTGCACAATATAATACGTATAATTTTGTCATAGTGATAGTATATATAGGGGATTTAGTTTCAGTGGCTGTATCTTATTCAATGTTGGCATTTTTGAAAAAAAAAAATATATATATATTTATATATATCATTAAATATATAATTATAATAAATGTATTATAATTATATAT